CTGAAAGAAGGGATGAAATGAGTTCAAGGCACATGAGGGTATCAGCCTATCAATGCTGAATTGTTCGGCCTGACTCAGATATGCTCTGTTAACCCATGTGCTTGTGTCTGACTGCAGTTTATTGTTGCCCTGATGAACTGAGTTCAGGGCATATAAGGGTGTTAGCCTATCAATGCTAAATAACCCAGCCTGGCTCAGGCGTGTCCTGTTAATCTGTGTGTGTATGTGCGTATATGTGTTTGACTGATTCAGTGGTTGGAGGAGCCCAGCCCCATTGAAACTAACTTCCCACCCTTTTCTCTACCTTTCTCCCATCCCACCTACCACTTCATTCTCCCCCACCGCACTGCTTACTATTTGGATCTAACTCTGGCCCTGGCTTCAGCCCCACTCCAGTTTGATGCAGGTGCACATAGTTGCTCCAGCCCCAGCAAAGCCACACAGCAGTGCAAAGGAAGCTCTAGGGCTGCCATCATTGCTGCATGGCAGGACCAAGTCAGTACCAAAGCACCATGTGCTCTATTTCCCTGGTTGAGTGGGGTCAGACTGGGGGCCACAACCAGTGGATAAGTGGCAGCTGTAATGTCAGGGAGAAGGGAGGGGCAGAGGCAGGGGTAAAGTAAGGCAGGGCAGGGCAGGGCAGAGGCTTCAGGGGTGAGGCAGTGGGGGCATGGACAGAAGCTCCAGTTGTCACTTCTACTCCAATGTCAGGTCAGTGCTGGAGTCAGATCTGTAACAGCTGCCCACCTCTCCACTTGTACTTAAATAAAAAATGAAGGGCATTTCCCCCATTTTAAATGGGAAGCCAGAAACTTATCTTGGTTTCAAGCAAATATGGTACTAACTTCCACTGTTGGGTTACTGCTACCCACAAAATCAGTAAAGCTCTTAACGTAGCATTCCTGTCCTAGCCCTAGAAGAAGAATGGAATGCCCATACCTTGGGGCCACAGGAAATTGCTGTTGGTGAAACAAGGTGCAATTTCAAATGCACCTTAAAGTCAAGAGCTATTATTTTTTGCTCTTTCTTCAAATCTTGTGTTAAGCTGTTTTGTTTTGTTTTTAAAAAACCTTTGGGCATAAGTGACAATGTCACTTGCTATTAGAGCAGAACGCTTTGACATAGTTGACATGAAATTTACTTAATGGTAGATCAGCCTGGAAAGTGTACAAAGGCTGATATGTCTGAGGAAGAAAGTGTAAGTACATGTAACTATCAAGGAATATTATCCTATTCCCAGGATACTTGTTACTGAATTCTAATATCAGAATATCAACAAGGGAGCTTTGAAACACTGGAATTACACAAAGATGTAACTAAGTGTGTTTCTAAGAGCAGATTGTTCTAATGGATTATCCCCATTGTTGTTCCACTCTCTTTTTTCTTTAGAAGTATTAGTTCCCACAAGCTTGTAATTGGTATGGAATTCAGATAGATGAAGTCAATTTTCTGTACATAGCTTTATTAGAATAATCATTAAAACTCATTATTTTTAACACACCAAGGTATTTATTTATTTAAGCTCTGTTTACAGAGTAGCTCAATTTGGCTGATGTCAGCTGGCAGTTCAATGAAACTCTGTGTTTCAGGTAAGGCTGTATGCGTTACATTGACCAAGACAGTAAATATTCACATGCGGAGAGGATTATAAAATGAGGTTATAAATATAACCCATGTGTAGCAACACATGGAATATTGTTAGATGAATACCATTTTTGCATATTCTAAATTTTAAATGAAGAAGTATTAGAGATTGAACATTTTTATACACACAGAAAATCTTTGTGTGTGTATGGAAATGATAGTAAAAGAGCATTCAGATGCATTCTTCTTACTCTTCCTGAGTTTTTCAGGCTGCTTTGCTTCATAAATTGTTTTTCTTCTATGAGTAGTTGGGAAAATCATGGGAAATTCAGATATCTGGGAAAAAAAAATCAGCCTAAATCAGAAGAAAAAAGGCAGCACATCTAAAATTTCCTATGGACTGTAATTTTTTTTTTTTAAATGGAACAATTAAAATGTTTTATCGCAATAATTTGGATACATTTCATTGAGTAACATCCAAATATTTCATTCAGATACTAAAACATTATAATATAAACATTGGGAATAACATACTTTATTAAAATTAATATACTATTGGGATTGCTATATTCATATGCAATAATCTGAAGAAAATTGATTGAAATGATAATATCAAAAGGTGCCTATACATGTACATTGAAGCTGCTCCAACACACTCTAATTACAATGTGTCAGAGCAGAACTGATTAATCGAGTCTGTTGGAGCATGGTAATTACCACACTCCCGAAGACTCCAGCATCATGGGTATCAGTGTCCCTACACTTAAAACGACAGCAGGGGTGTTTTAACTAAAGCTCGTTCAATGAATTGTAGGTAAAGCACCCCTGCCACCATTTTTCAGCACAGGGATGCTAATACACATGATTCTCTGAGTGCTTTAGTTAGAGTGGCTCTCGATGTAATGTTTTGTAATGTTCTTAACTTATGAAAGTGAGGTGGCGCTTTTATATATTTATTTTTATTGGAACAAAATTAAGATGTCAAAATTGTTCATGTTAACATATTTGCCTCATTGAAAAGTTTATTATGTTCCAATGAAATAGTTCAGTCTGATGAAATTAGTGCTTTTGCTAGAAAACTCAATATTCATTAAAATGGTCTAGAGGCTTCCATTTCCTGAGGATGGCAGGGGATTTCAAACTCATAGGTTTGTGAAGTTCAGTCCCCCTTTCCTATGTGTAATCCTTTCAGTTGATTCTACATGGTCTAAATGGCTTTCTGTTATAGCTCTTTGTACTAAAGTTATGAAAAAAATAAAAACATAGCTATGTTGGAAAAATCCTAAGGTAGGATGTGGGATAAGGGTTTCTGTTGGCCTAGTTGTAACTGGGAAAGCTGGCATAACTATGTCATCAGTTGAGTTATATGCCATCATCAGCTTCATTGTAGGGGTCTCTAATACACCTGTACAGGTATAGCAGCAAAAGCATTGTCTTGCAGACAAACACTCAGAAAATAAATATGGTCAATGGGCTACAAAAAAAAATATGTCAGGTGGTTAGAGAGATGAAGAAATGCCAATATGTAGTATAATCCTCTGTGTGCAGACAGAAGTTACATTTTTTGCATGATGAGGCCCTAAGAGTGCTCTAAAGCCATGCCATGACACACGTGCACAGCTACTGAGAACTTTCAAAATGGCTCATCATGCAAAAAATTCACCCTTCTCAAATGAGATATTAGATAAAGGCACTCTAACTTAGAGTGCTTTAGGGAACTTAGGAGCTATCAGTGGGGGGAGGGGGAAGTGAGCAGCACCGAGCTGCTGGCTGCGCTTTGACTGAGCTGGAGGGTGGGGGTGGAACAGACCCCCCCCTTCCTCATGCCCCCCACCCCCAGTTTCCCTCAGCTGGGATACTGTGGGGAGTTGGGCTGGGGCCATAAAGCAAGGGGGTTCCATTCCACCTCCCCTCTCCAGCTCCAGCCAAGCAAAGCAGAGATGGAGAAAGGATCAGCATGAACTGCCAGCTTGTCGAGCCTGAGCTGGAGGGGGGGCTATAATGGAGCCCCCTCAGCTTGTGGGCCCAGCCCAGCTCCCCCCCCAGTACCCCAGCTGAGGGGGCTGGGGAGGCCATGAGGTATGGGAGGAGGGGGCTCTGTTCCACCCACCCCCTCCAGCTCAGGCCAAGCAAAACTTTTCATTTCCCTCTTCCCCTTCCCCTGCTGACAGCCATGGAGCTGTGAGGGGGAGAGGGGGCATGGCAGAGGAAAGGGATGGTTCAGCACACTCCTCAAAAGTACAGGAGTGTCCCTGCCTACTGGCCAGGAGGACTGGTGCAGGCAGACTTGATTCCCCCCGCCCTGCAACCCAACAGATGCACCCCTGTTGAGTCAGGGGAGTGCACTAACTCATGTCACTTTATGTAAAGTGCCATGAGTTAGAGTAGAAGGGGGGAGGGAGACTGAATGTCTGTCTGTGCCCTCCCTCTTACAGCTCAAATTAAAATCCACACAAAGCACAGTGATGACTTGATGCTGCTTAAAGTGAAGGGATACCCAGAATAGGTTAATCACAATAGGCAAGCTCGTCTTATCAATTAATTTAATACATTGGAACTGTCAATTTGGTTTCAGTTTTCTAGTACTTAACTGAACTTCTCAACTCCGTGTGGTGTTCACTCACTTTTAACTGAAAAATGACCTGATTGATATTTCCATGAAAAGGGTATCAAGGCTTTCTTCAAGGCTTCCATCATGGCTTTTTTTTTTTAATAAAGCCAGAGTTGATCTTATTTCTGTGAATGATCTGTTCCATAATTTAGGTTCTCTAAATGGAAGATAAGCAGGGAAAAATTAGTGTTAGCACTCAAACTGGTATTAAAAAGGTAGCTCACCTAGGGGGAAATGAATTTTGTCCTTTCATTGCCTTGTACTAAAATATATTGAGGTGCTGAAATTGTAGCCACTTGCAGGAATAATTTCCGGCAATTTTTACAGTCAAGTTTATGAAAACTGCATTGTGATTGTCAGATCATTTTTCAGCTTGTGGTTGTGATTCTAATTTAGAGCAATTTTCAGGTGGTAGAAAACTAGAACTCTACCAACACCTGTCATTTTTGGTTTAGTCTTTCTTTCAAATGAAGTCACTATTCATGTTGCATTGCATTGGGTTTTTTTCTGAAATTTAGGAACATAAGATTGAAAAGGGGCTACATGATCCATAAGGTCCAGTCTCCTGAATTCACAGGCAGTTGTTAACACAAGGGATTCCTGGTACACCATTTTAAATCCTTCTTTTCAACTGCAAGGTATAATACCCCAAATAACAAGAGCACCCTGCACCATGCCATAGGTTAAAACATAGTAAATGAGGTCATTGCCAATGCCCTGCTACTCTAATGACATGGAAGTAGTTGATCAGCATATGCTCAACATATACTAAGAAAAGGACCTTGCTCCATGTAAAAGAGGAAGGGAAAAAACTCACAGGTCCTGTCAATCCAGCCTATGGGGAAAAATTCATTCCTGACCCCAAATCAGAATGATTCTAAAAAGAGCAAAAATCTTCTACTTAGGAGCCTCTGGGTTTTCCAGCTATAGACACAAGTGTTGGTTCACCCCAGTCTGAAGTCCCGATGCCGCAGAGGAAGGATGGGGTAAAAAATCCAGAAGCCAGTAGCACTCCTAAGGAGAAAAAATATTTTCATGTTTCAAATGGTAGTGAGTAAAAGCTCTGAGAATGGGATCACAAGATATCTTCCATAACAAAAATGCTACTTTATTACTCCAACCTGGGTACTGCAAAAAAGTTACTTATCCCTATTTATATTCTTCCTAAATGCTTTGTGTATCATTCAGTATCTGCATTCCACTCATTTGGCTCCTTCAACCATGGGATGTTGTTGCAAGAAGAATGATTTCTAAGAAAAGACAGGATCCACCTGACGAAGAGAGGGAAGAGCATCTTTGCAAACAAGATCGCTTACCTAGTGAGTAGGGCTTTAAATTAGGTTTGCTGGGGGATGAAGACTAAAGCCCTGCAGTAAGTGGGGAAGCAGGAGACATGGGGGAAGAGCAAGCAAGAGGAAGCAAAAGGGGAGGCCTCCTCACTTTTCCTGAGAAAGTAGGACAATTAGCTAATTATATCAGGTGTCTACACAAACACACAGAGTCAAGGAAACAAGCAGGAAGAATTGGAAGTCCTCGCACAGTCATGGAACTATGATGTGACTGGAATAACAGAGACTTGGTGGGATAGTTCTCAGGACTGGAGCACTGTCATGGATGGATACGAACTGTTCAAGAAGGACAGGCAGGGGAGAAGAGGAGGAGGAGTTGTACGGTATGTAAAAGAGCTGTATGATTACTCAGGGCTCTAGTATAAACTGGAGATAGGCCTGTTGAAAGTCTCTGGGTTAGGGTCAGAGTGGGAAGCAACAAGGATGATGTTGTGGTGGGTGTCTGCTAGAGATCACCAGACCAGGAAGATGAGGAAGATGAGGCTTTCTTCAGGCAACTGGTGGATGTTTCCCAATCAGAGGCCCTGGTCCTTCTGGGGGACTTAAATCACCCTGACATATGCTGGGGGGGTGGGGGGGAGGGGCAATACAGCAGTGCACAGGAAATCCAAAGAAACACAAAGATCCACCCCCTCCCCAGTATGCCAACTTCTTTATAAAATATTCCAAAGAAAATTTTAGACCACCACACCATTAAACCTGCAGTATACCTACTATACACAGATGACTTTTTCTTCATCAGAACTGAATTCCTGGGCTTGATTATTGATTTCTACTACAGCTTTAACAACTACTATCTTTTGATGAAATTCTCTCTGGAATGCGTTTACACCAGCATCAATTTTCTAGGTACTGTGGTCAACATCCATAATTGTACCATAGAAACACCTATATACAAAAAACCTACAACCCACCTCATCTACCTCCACATAACTAGAATTGTTCTAAACACACCAAGGAAGTGGTAAACTACAGCCAGGCTCTCAGATACCACTATTATTCCTCTGAAGTACTCATGACCTCACTTACCAAAAAATTCCTTTACCAGCTAGGGCATTCCAGAATAAAATTAAACAACATCTTTAAACAAAAAGCCTCATGTTCCATATAGTAGTATACAATACAGAAAGAAAATCCTCATGGACTGTACAATCCTTGTGGTCACATACCCCTCCCCCCACCCACACCCACACATTGTAACCTACAAGAAAGATGATCAAATAAGTAATCTCTATATTTTTAGAGGATCACACCTTCCTTTTGATCAGCAAATGTGAAGTGGAACATAACTCTGCCTAAGCAACAAAAACAAAAGCTGCCAGAAGATCTTCACTATCACTACAATTACCACAACACATAGTAAAACATTACAATCCATGTAACATATACACGTCTATCACATAATGTGGTACTTCCCATCCAGCATACCGAATGCCTTCATGAAAACCCTGTGGATGAAACTAAATAACTACTACATTTCAGAATGAATTCTCACAGAAAAATGATAAAGGGCCTAATCATCCAATCACCAGTGAGTCAACATTTTTCACAGAACTACTACTCCGTCTCTGACCTCATGGTCCTTGCACTCAAGGGAAATCATACAATACCTTCAGATGATGGGCCTGAGATCAAATATTCATACCTTTACTCGAAACTAAAATCAATGGACTAAATACAGACCATGGTTTTATGACTCATTACATTTAATCTGCTCCCTCTGCTAGCCCTCTACATTCCACAAATATAACAGACCTCTTCTCTGTTGAATGGTTGGATTCTTTTACATAAATAGGTTTATCTATTTCATTATCTGTTTCTGAACAAATCATACATTTTACATATCCCCTGGACTATCACAAGTATAACATTCTGATTACATGGTTGACTGTATGAATAAAAGTTACCTTGAGTTTGTATTCATTAAATAGTTGTATGCTTATTTAGACATAGGCTGAGGAATGGGGTGGGCCAACCAGGCCATGGCCTGACCAGTTTTTAGCATGTTAATTTAGGTAGCTATGCAGTTAAAAAAATAGCTATCCAGTATTAACTGGAATGACAATTGCACATTTGTGGGTTATATAAATTAACATGCTAAAAGTTGGTCAGGCTGAAAGTCTTTTTACAATTTGGTATTGAGTTTCCATATCCCTCCTCTAATTCTGTACACTGCACAGAGTGATAGCACTTTAATTCCCCATCAATGACAAATGTTTTCTCTCGATTCATAGTAAGGTCTTTCACCTTATATAATTGGTGGTTAAAAAACATTTCTTCTGTTTGCTTCCTTATTACTATTTCTCATGTTTCTATTTCTCTACACTAAATTAAACCAAAACATTTTTAACTCAGTAAGTTGTCTGCTGTTATAGAAACCTCTAATGTGCTAATTGAAAATTAGAAGTTGAAATCCAATTTCTAAACGATTCTAATCTTAGAACTCAGTCTGACATCACTTGTTGTCATATAATTGTGGCTGAATGATTATAAGAAACTTAGTAAATAGCTTTAAGGTACTATCCAGAATCCTAGACCAAAATGCATCACATTCTCCAGATTGGGGGGGGGGGGGGGAATAAATGAGCTTACAATTGTGTTGGCTATACCGATAGTGAAAGAGAGTCTGCATTGACATTTTAAAAATTCAGTTTGGCTAAAATCTTATTGGATGTATAATCAATCTGTGTGCCTCTACATGTGCGCTTTATTGTGCATTACACTAAAATCTAATGCACAATGAAATGTCACCATCTACATATGTGCAACAATTACTATGCAGTAGATTAACTTAAAGTGTTGTTTGCTAATACTGATAGATACAGGTACTAGAAAAGGGCACTTTAAACTAATGTCCTAAACACACATGTAGATGCTGACCTGGGACCAAATTGCTGCTGATCAGCCCAGACAGCAGGGAGATATGATGGCTGCTTGGTTTAGCCCAGAGCTCCATGGGGGGGAGAGGTGAGAGGAGGGTGGAGCTGCCTCCCAAGCCCTGGACTATGCTGCTCTTGTAAGGCTCAATTTGCTCCCAAACCAGGTGCACATGTAGACATGTTCCAGGCACAGTTTAATGTACCTGAAGTTACTGCACAGTAAATTCAGGTGCATTAACTGCATGTGTAGACACAACCTCTGTTTACCAAATGATACAGTGGCATCGCACAACTAGCAGGACTCCAAGGTATTTGGTACAGTAGAAATAATACCAGCCAAAGAAAAGTCACCAGTTGAATTTCACAATTCTTATTTATATTAAACTGGACACCATGGAAAAGCATATGATGACTGGTTGTTATTTTCAAGATTAAGAGTGATGTAGGCTTACTGACCTTTTAACGGAATTCAAATTAAAATAATACTGGAAGTGATAAGAAACCATATTCTCGACAGGTTTAAATCTTATATAAATCTGAACATATAACTTCTGGAATGAGTATGTATAGTGGTTACCTTTGGAAAGTCAGTATTTGCCAATAACTATCTGATATGTTATTTGATATATTTTAAATATATACTTCTGAAAATGTAGGACAATATTGCAGTTAAGAACAGACACACTATTTTATAATATTGTTTCAGTTGTGGTTCAATTTTAAAATGGTTGGAGCGACCTGAGATTCATTTTGGGGGGAGGGGGGTTTGTTTGTTTGTTTTTCTTTTGTTTTGTTTTTTTTTCCTCATGAAATAAAAAATGTAAAATCTAGAGGACCAAACAAACTTTGCCTTGGCTCTGAAATTGAATGTTTCATTTTTTTGGCACCAGGAATATAAGGCAATGAAATAAAAATTTCAGTTCACAAAAATTACAGTAGGAAAGGGTAGTTCCTCTTTTAACCATCAGAGTAGTCAGTTGGGATACAGGAGACCCAGGTTCCACTGTCACCTCTACCTAAAAGTATTTGAACACACATCAACCATCTCACTGGAAAGAGCCATAGTCATGAGGCAATAGGCAGGCCACGAGTGGCCTACTTTTAGTCTCTCCTGATGATGCATGCACTGCTTTCATAGTTAGTGAGTTAAGAGAGCATGGTTAGGGCATTCCCCTGGGAGGTGGCAAACCTGGGTTCAAATGCATTTTGTGCCTGATTGAGAGCAGGCTTTTGAACAAGATCTCCCACCCCTCAGTAAAGTGCCCAAGACACTAAGCTTTATGGTGAACAAACATTAAAGGATCAGATTTGTGCACTGTGCAGGAAGGGATTCAGAAAAAGAAACCTCTAAAAAAAAGGCCCTATTGGTTTGTTAGAATGATCATTGTTTTAATCTTGTTATCTTGAGCCTCAGCCTACATCAGCCTATGGATGTATCTTTAAAGGTAGAAGAGGTACTACAAGAGAGACGATCCAAAGGAAAACTATAAATAATATTCAGTGAAAAGGCATTGAAATGTAAAAAACAAAATGGAGATCTGTCCAGGTTGAGCTGAAAGATTATGGAATATAGAAATTAAAACATTCAAAATCCTCAAGTGTCAGAAGGGTAAGCTACAGCAATTGCTGACTGTTAAAAGCAATAATGAGTTCATGATTAGTGCTGGCATTATGCAAATGAAAAACACTTAAGACAGTCTTTGAGATATCTGGTTTGAGGAGCCATTTTAGGCAGTACTCTGATATCAGTCACATGTCTCCTTCAAGTGTGAGTTCCACACTTGAA